CCCTTACTAAAGTTTTATCTGGCGATTTTGAAAATGGCCTGTGGTCTAAACTTTCAATAATTGTTCCATTCACCCGCATTTGGTATTTTATTTAACGAGGCCATTTAAAAGCAGCTTTTCTCAAACTACTTATTTATACTATGTCTAACATACAAGTGCGTGCTCCAGCAAGTGAATATAATCGAACAATATATTGCTCGACTATTGACTAAGCACAGAAAACATTTGCAAAAAAAATAGGGCGAAGTGCGAACTACGTGACAGGCGTGCGACCTCATCCAGCCGACGTTTCACCTTTGACCTCTCCCCTGCAATCCCCGTGACGACATCTGATGACCTCTGACCTGTGACCGACACTGGGGCACCGTAATGTCGCGACTCGTGCACGCCGGATCATCAACGAAAACACTTGCGACAAAAATAGTGACAAAAATAGCATCGATAAATGATCGCCATTTATTCACTTTTGTTGCGATTCTAGTCTAGATAGGTATGTAGGTAGGTATTGCATGTTGCATTTGCATTTGTAAACCGGTACTTATTTATCAATCCGCTGGCCCGCCCATGCACCACAAAAAGTCTAAACGGTTTCCCTGCTAAAGCCCATGTTAACACTGGCATTCGTGTTCGGTATTCTTCTCCTTTCATCTCTGCAACACCTCTCTTGTTGTTGACGTCACGCAGCAATCTCAACGCTCAACATATTTGCGGAAGAGGGCTTGATGTGGCTCCCCACTCCCCTCCCAGACCGCCACAAGTGAAAGTAAAGCACTGCACAATATTTGCTCCGCGATTCGTTTTGCGCAGCACATGGTGATTGCAGAGATTTCGAACCGTGGTGGGTTATGTCACTCAAGTGGGAACACACGCCATGAGGGCTCGCTCCCCGGGAAAAGACACGTTGACGTAACCCCAACCGTGCCCGAGATTCGTGCAAGCAGTGAGAATCTACATACGTCACATCCTGACCGTGACTTAAGTGCTGCTAGATGACGGATCTAAACGCCTGTCTACCTTACATCAAAGACGCCCTTGGTACTTGGTAGATAATTTAACCCGGCCGGGCCCGGGGGTAATCCCAACCACCGCAGCCCGGGGGGGGGGGCGTTTTTTCCCCCCCCCCCCCCTGTCTAATTCCGTAAATAAGGGAGCTACGGAAACAAAAGCGATACCAAACGAAAGGTCCTTACGAGACGATTCTAATGCACCTAAAATTTTTGACCTCAGGTCAATTTTCAAGGTCAGAGGTCAAGGTCAAAGGCCAAAACCGGCACATGTGTAGTGATCTCAAAGTAAGCCTTCTAGAGGACGGCAGGCTGCATCAAACCGGCAAAATTGGGTGTCAAACGAAAGAAGAGAATCTGATGATTCTGAAAATGTGCTCCAAATCAAAGGTCAAGGTCAAGGTCACGCTCAAAATTGACCTCAAACTTGGCACTTTTTTGCACATCTTGCGTGCTAACTTCCAAGATGTTTTGAAATGTTTTGAGGCTTATCAGTTCCCTATTTGTGGTTCAGCTTACGATACAAGGCTGCTCAAAGGTCAAGGTCACAAAAGAGTATCCCTGTTAGAGGCTATTTCACTGATTCAAGTTAGTAATAATAAATAAGACAATTTTGCCATCAGGAAGCTCTAAATGAAGGCTTAGAGGAAAATAGATGCCAGATTCGTGATCAGCGGGTACAAATCCATCATAAACGACCTTTCATGTGTCAAGGTCAACTAGAGGTCATTCGAGGTCACATGAGGTCAACATGAAACTTGACCTTTTCCGAACAAAATATATATCATTCGACGCGTCTTGACAAGGCGAATGCGATGGTACCACTGCCGTAGCTCTAGGGCCATTTTTGTCGAAGTTATTTGCGAAAAACTAAAACCACATTTCGGGGTCGTTGACCTGACCTCTGACCTCAGGTCACCAAAACTATTTTTCTATTTTTCTCTAGGTCAAACGCTACACAGCCGTGCTCGTAATTTGTCTGTATCTCTAAAACTCTATTTTTAGCAGCTATTTGAAGTTTGCGTCTGTGACGCCGAAGTTTGCCGTGCAGGGGTCTAGAAAAATGGACCTTGTGACGTCATCAAGGGGGCTAGGTCCAAATTTTTTACTACAGAAGATGTCAAATTGATGGGAGAAAAGGTACTGAAAGTTCCGCCTTCCTATCCCTAAGCGTTCGGGAGTTATCGCAAATATTCGCCAGGGGGGCGAAAAACGCCCCCCCGGGCCCGCGAGGGTTAACATTAAGTAATGAACACTCATGAATTATGACTCTAAACTCAATGTGATATAAGTTTAGAATGACGTCTCTTTCTCTCTGTGTTTTCTCATGCATGCATAATTTACATGTGCATAAGAAGATCCCATATGTGGCTTTTGATGTGCTATTAAACGTAATAAGACCGGTCCGCTTTGAAGGATTCCCGTTTATCTTCCCGGCATCACCTGTTCACAATGAGAATTACCAGCGTTACAGTTTGACGGCCCGTCTCGGGGCGCGGTTTGCATCACGGTACCGGGCTCTGTCACACAACAGCGCCCGGCGTCACTCGCGTTACACCTCTCGTTACTCAACGCGTCACACCGCAAGTGACGGCAGTCACGCGAGACCGTGACGGCCAGCCGTGACCGAGTGACGGGGCGTGACGGCTGGTGACGTCACACCAGTCGTGATCAGCTGACGAGCGTGAGGCAATCGGCCGTGCCGTGGCCACACGCGGTGGTCAACAGGGTGCCGCTGCGTGGGGATGCCTCCCTCCCAACACTTGGTCCACATGAATGAATGTAGGTGACCTGATAGGCACTCATGTGGCCTGGAGCTGATACCTTGAGGATACCCATGTGATCCGGGGTTAAAAGTTACCCCATGCTGGAATGTTTTAAAGAGGATGGTGATTTGGTGTGATTATCCGGCAACAGAGACACGGTATCAACTCTGAACTCATAGCTAATCATCTCTGAATATGCAATGTCGAGCCTATGGGTCTACATATGTAAGCTTAAATATGTTTCCAAAACAAGATCATTTTTAGTGGCCCAGTACGGTTGTAAGTCGTCACACGCGATTTGAATTTCCCATGATAAGCCGCTTTTACTTTGATTTAAATATTCCCTTGTAATTCGGAGATTCAGACTGGTTTTTAACGTGTCGGACCGGTCTAACTAAGTGCCTATGTCCTTGTAGGTGCAATGCATTGTGTAGCCTCATTGCGACACTTTATTGCACATGGCTTTATTGCAAAAGGTAGTATCATGCGAACGACAGGACAAGCGCTCCGTCATTCGTGTATAAGGTATATGATCTCGCGTACATAATGCATATACTACATTTGCTACTGTTTTCATCCGAATTCTCTTCATTCGATAATGGTCTCACGTGAACCATTAACACTAAAGTTACAGCAGTACCTTTAGCATCATTATAAGCTGAGAAGCACTCCCATAATTCAAGTTAGGATCGTTTGGCCACCGGCATGACCTTTTACTTCTGAGTTTGAACGAGGAAAACGTGTTCATTTATACAATACGCCCACCACGCTGACAGTGGCACTAGACCATTCCACGGTCATGATCTAATGAATCGCACTTGTGCATCGTGTATCTCATATGATCACGCATCTCGTGCAGGTCGAAAAAATACGGAAAAATTTGAATGAGATATCTCTTTCTCGTTTTTAATAAAAACGTTCGATAAAAACATAGATATAGGCTAGGATAGGTATACGATACATCTCAGTCACCTTTAGATGTGTTCACTTTCGCTTTCAATTGAGCGTCGATTAATTTTGCTGTAGCCTGTATGAACTCTGGCTCTTTGAATAAATGCTACATAAAATATGTAGGTAAGGCCGTACCGCGTACGGCTCGGAACTCAGAGCTGACACGGCAATTAGACACAACAACCAAAACTTGCAGTTCGTTATCATTTGATTTGAGGAACACGAAGATGTTATGCAGATAGGCAGCAATGCACTAAGATAGCGCACTGGAGTCTGGATTACGTAGGTACAGCTAGTAACTCGTGTAAATGCAGGTACAGTCCACAGCAGAAGTAATGTGGGGTTTCAGTCATGGGTATGTTCTGCTTCTGAAGCTTAGGAACGATTAGCCAGACTACAATGAAACTTTGAATGTATCTTATATGTATCGTCACCCTTGCAGCTGCAACTTTAGCTATTGACATCTTCTTTTCGATCACTCCGCATTAAACAATCGCCAGTCAAAGCCAACCGCTGAGATTGGTAAAACCCTACATTACTTTAGCGGTGGGCTGTACCTTTTATGTCACTGCTTCAACAATTCATATCTGAGCTCCAATCAATGCCTACCTATGCTTTTCCGAAAGTGAAACTTCTTTTTGTCATCGGAAGCTCTCACTGTACGATTACGATATGTTGCCCCATTAGGTATGTAGAACAACTTTTATTTGGATATCTCATGTTCTCCCTCATATGGTCAAAAACTTCCAACCGCTTTAACCAGAAATGCCCGAATTAAAAACATGTTTGAATTATTGCATAAACTCATTAATAATCGTACCATTATATGACAAAACGTGATTATTTACGACATAATAACCGTAACAGTAATTTTCGACAATAGTGATAAGTAGTAACCGTATAAGACGGTTTCAGTAGCTGTAGCCATAGAGATCTTATATACATGTATATAAGATCTCTATGGCTGTAGCAGGTATGCGTTCGCAATTCGCATAAGTCGCAAGAGGCAGGTAAACGGATGGTGTTCATAATCGAGACATCAAAATCCGCGAGATTTTCCTGACCGAAGAGTTCTAAAGCGACTCTCGAAGCCGAGAGCACTCGAAGCCACGCGGTAAACAGACAACGACACGGATAACTGATATAGTTAGACATGTTTAAAGAAAGCACATATCCCTCTCTATATGTATAGCGAGAGTAGTTTGTGGACAAAGGCGTAGAAACAGACAGACGATGAGAGCGTCCGAGCGCCGCCGTCGTTCGGCTGCAGGGTGCTCACCTGTTTGACGACGGCAGCCGACATGGTGCTAATGACGCCACGCGCGCTCTGCCAGTCGCTGCGCCCCGTCCGGCTCCGGTTCCACCTCTCCACTGACGCCTCCGACCGGCCCCGATCACCTGGTGCCCTCGCGCCGCAGCGCCGCTGGCGACGGCCCCCCGAGCGACCCCACACCGGTCGGCCGACGGGTCGGTACTTCCACGGGCAGACGGCCTCGACGGAGAGTCGAGGGTTCACGGACACCGCACGGCGAGATGCAGGTGGGAGAGGAAACTGGAGGAGGTGTTCCCTGAGAAAACTCGAAGTCTCGCCGTTCGCGCGCGGGCTCCGCTATCGGATGGGCCGTTCAAACTCAGCACACTAAATCCATCGGTTAGAACTGGAATTTGATGCATAAAAACTGGGAAAATTTAAAATATGAGGATATAAAAACCAAGACGGGCGTAAAAACTAGATAGTAGCAGGCCCTGCGGGCGAGGACTCCGAGTGCAGACACTGGGCGGCGGGCGCGACTTCAGGCACTGCTAGGTGGGGGAGATTGTCGGCTCTCCATGGCTAAATGGAGGTCTGGCAGTTTGGAGGTGTGCCAGAGCAGCTCATCCCGGCCCAACATCAACTGAGTCGTAGTCAGATGCTTACACTGAGCTACTCGACACATTTTCGTTCCAAGGGCTTTATACATGAAAAGGTCAGACGCTTCATTCAGAGCTTGAGCGTCTGGGGACCTTTGGTCGTATTCACGCTTTTGCCATTTACATTATACGTGGATTGGAAAATTGAAACAAATTGTAGCCAATACTTTTAATGCGAAATCCCGCCATAATTGTCTTATTTTGATATTTCATACCTATAACAGATTGATAGCAGTCAGCAGATTGATGTTACCCGATTAGGAAACGATTTTTATGAAATAATGTGAACGAACGGGATTGCATGAAACGTCAAAATCATCTTATGCTCTTCCAGCCGCTTTACCCATTATTATTTCATTATTTCTTTCGGAGCTCTACATCAATACTTAGGATGGCTTTTCCGTCTGAGTGTCGATATATATATGTTACAGGCAAAGTGAAAACTCGGGCATTTTGCAAAATGCCCAGGCAGTTTGCAAACTGCCTGACCCACCAGGCATTTTGCAAACTGCCTGAAATATTTTTCCAGGCATTTTGCAAAATGCCTGACATCAAACTCGCACTAGCGACGATGTATAGGTAAGCATCATTTGTAACTGCCGCTTACAAAAGTTGATCGCTGTCAATGCGCACCAAGTGAGGGGATACTGCGTTCTCCGGGTAGCGCCGCCGAGTTCAGGTCACTGAGCCTCAGCGGCCGTCGGGTGCCGAACACCGGGCGTGGTTTCGTGGGTAAACATGCGCTCGGTACAATGATTGTACTGTTTCTAGGAGCTCTTGGTGGCTTTTTGAAAATACTATGGGTGGATATTGATCAGAAAAGAATACTCTTCCAATTTACGAAAATTTGATTGTTACACGTTTAGGTACATTATCAATCGTCTCTGCCGGAACAGTTGCCCAACGGGGCAGAATACTGGACATGGCAGCTTTTACACACGGCTACAACTCCGTATATACGAAAGGTACGGAGACGGTGGCTCAAGTCCATTCAGCGTTGGCTCCATCTCGACAGAATTGACGCAAGACGTAGGTATAGGTACAGAGTGTCACGAACTTGATACGCGGTTGGCGCGGTCTTGTCCCTCCATGCCCCTCCTGAGTGTTGAATGGATGTAATTTGAACGGGTCCGGCACCAGGGCATCTGGACCAGGGCACTCGGCATCTAAATCGGTCATCCCCCGGTATCTAAAGATTTTACCCTGAAGCTGAAGCCGCTCAACCTCAGGCTGCAACCCTGACTTACCGTCATCCATAAGTGATGCAGCTGGATTTCGACAAAACCCACCAAATCTGGACCATTCAGGACTAGAGATTCAGACTTTTCAATGATGAGGCCGTGAGGCGATATTAGCCGTTTTCACGACGGCCATCTGGTACACATTTGGTTCACATCTGGTGCAGATTAGGTGCGTATTTGGTCAAACTGGTTCAGTGTGTCTCTTAGTACCCATCAACTAGGGTTCTACTAATTGCTTATATGCCTCCTTTGTCATATTATCAGAGAGCATCATCGGTTAAAACACTGAAATAAATTCATAAAATAAAGATATTTGCTGTAAAAGAGATTATGTGCAGAGTTGGTCAAATTAGGTGCAATCGCAGGATAGCCCGTCGTGAAAACGGCTATTAGAGCTCTTCTTAGTCACTAACCGTCCCGACAAGCCGGCCAACAGCAGCTCAGAGGCGCTGCACCGTCGAGACGGCGAAGCACCCACTGGGCACTGGGGATTCTCATTTGGGGCATGATGGGCTACAGAGGCCTATTTGAGCTTCACCAGGTGCCGCGGGGACAGACCATGTGGCCGCTGATAACTTGTCAGCGAGGTGCTGGAGAACACTGACGCAACTACGATGCAATACATTTCGGGACACAAGTACAACATCCCGCAACAATTTCGTGACACCCTGTATTCGTGAGCGTGGAATGTGTCACATGTGCCCACAACACATGTGAAATGTGTTGTAGGGTCAGGCACAGTGGAACGTTTATGATCAACGCCTGTAGTCAACAAGAACCGTGGAATATATGGAAACCCAGGCATTTTGCAAAATGCCTGGCGGGTCAGGCATTTTGTAAAATGCCTAGGCAGTTTGCAAAATGCCTGGTGGGTCAGGCAGTTTGCAAACTGCCTGGGCATTTTGCAAAATGCCTGGCGTGTCAGGCATTTTGCAAATTGCCTAGGCATTTTGCAAAATGCCCGAGTTTTCACTTTGCCTGTAGCATATATAAATAAAGGGTGCGGCGAGGAAAACAGTATAGGTAGGTACAGGGTGTCCCAAGAGTTTCTTAACACCTATTTTTTCACATTAATGGCCATCACTACCACTTTGAGAACATCGAGAAACATGATGTTGCTATTGGCATGATGTTTAGTATGTCTCGTATCAGAGGCAGCCCGGCTTTTCAACGCCCCAGGCTATTTGAGAGGCGGCCCAGGGTAGTCGATCCCACACCCATTTTTAATCGTAAACATGAAGGTGCCGAGGAAGGTCACATCGTGGAAATGGGTCAATTGATGGTGGTAAGAGATAGAGGTTAGTTGTTAAGATATTTGGTGTACCCCGAACGAAGGCTATCATTGGTGGAAACTATATTCTTGTACCTACAATTAATCTTGAAAAGAAAATGGTGGTCCGGCCGGCCATCTGTGGTGGTGAATATCGTAAAAATCGGATGTTCGGAGGCTAAGGGCAAGCGGGGACACAGTGTGCAAAAATTTACAATGCGATTATCAGGAAAAGGATCACAAGCATTAAAGCTATACACATACAGGTTTTTATGACATTTATTGATTTTGGAACTGCACATATGGTTCCATCAACCAAAAACAACAGAAAATCAGCGGTATTTGCAGATTGCAGGCTTTGCAAAATAGGTAAACGTAGACTTTTTGATGAATAAAGATTTTTGGAATGATGAATCCGTGTTCAAATACCAGCATTAACCACACTGGTTACCTAATCCAGTGGTATTTAGACCTAATAATGCTATTTAAATGTCTTCCGTCCATGCAGTGAAGAACTGAGCAATGGGGATGGTCTGGGGAGCAATATACGCCGATACGTTGACAGAACTTCATAGAATGCCAATAAAACAGGTTGAGAAGGTTCAAAAGAGCGCCTCTCAAATACTGTGAAGGTCACTCATTGCAGCGGTTAGCCGGTTCCCAGAAAACATGCGTATTACCGAGAAGAAAATGCTCGAAAGCAGGTTAGAGGCCCTGCTCGCAGCACTAGGCGTCATCATGCACTATTTAAAATGTACCCGAAACTGGCACAAATGCCACTTTCTTAGTTACTGGGACGAAGATACATGGTTTAAGGACTAACCCAATTAAAAACCCATGCAAATTTCCGATTTATATTGGAATACGGCCCGAATGATCTGAGATCCGGCGCCCAGCTTGACTGAGCTTTCGGTGTGGCTAAAATTGACATCTTCGCACATTTTCGCTAATTGGCTCCAGTGTTCTTTTGGAAAACATGTCCTTTTGTGTTTGATTGCATGCTAAATTAAACGGTGGTTCTTGTAAGGTGTAAATAAACGGCCTCAGTACACTTATATATATTTTATTGGATGTTAAAAAGTGTTAAAAAACTTTTGGGACACCCTGAATATAACATGATCCATCATCTTAAAGGGACCCTCCCACCTTCAAAAAAGTTAATGAATTGGCATGAAAGTGATGTCGCTCGGTTCAGAAAGAGCAAAAACGAATATCTACCAAATTTCATCGAAAAATATTCACCGGTTTTCAAGATATTAGACTTTTACTTTTGTTTACTTTTTGGGATCTCCGCTGTTCCTAGCGACTTTATTTGAAAGTGCGGCATTTGTTGCGCGCAAAGCAGCATATACCACCGCGTGCTACAAAACGTTTTAGTCGAACATTTAACGGACGTTCGAAAGCCTGATGACGTCATCAGATTCCCGTAATGGTTAAGAGTTAGGGACCACGCTGGTCCCACCCTGCAAGTAAAGGGAAGAAATTTCTTGAACACCATAAAGCTGCGGGGGTTGCGACCAGGATAAATGGTGGTTTCTGAGCCTGGCCGCAAACTTGGCTATCTCAACTCAAAACTAATGTTAAGGTGGGAGGGTCCCTTTAAAATACACAGACAAGTAAACTGACGACTAAAATGACAACAATACCTATAAGCAGAAGCACCTACGAAATCGCCTTTCTAACGCGTCTGCGTCACATGGCTGACGTTTTGGACTCCCGAATGCTGGCAGGGAGCGAGTTCCAGACGGCGCAGGTCCGATAATAGAAAAAACTTAGCTGAGCGTGCTCCGTGCGCACTCTGGGTAGTTCCAGCTCCATGTTTTCGGTTCCACGAGTTTGCTTATACTGGATAAACTACTATGCCTTTCAAAATGCTCGGAAGGACACTTGGGGTGCGTGAATGTTGTTGAGCAGATTGTACACATTATTGTTATTCGTGCACATTAGTTATTATTGTACCTAAAACATATTAGATTATTTGTCCTTTTATTTGTCCTTTTATTATCGCCATATACCATTAGAGCGCATGCTGAAAGATGATTCGTTTCGCATGGCTTATCACTGACTGAATATACCGACCCTAGTATAGCCCGTTCAATCACATGTAGGTAACAACACGGACCGGACCTTCGATTTCACAC